TATGTATATGTTCGCCAAACTGTGTGTTGTTAGCCAAAACAAAGAGCAGCAAAGCAGGTGTGCAGTTTGTGTGTAAATATAATTCAAGTGGCTATCGACATCATATGCGTACAATATTTCTAAAAGGCCATTGGGAGTGATATTGGGCATTGGGTGAGTTTATTATTTTTTGGGGGGGGTGGGCTTGAGTTGATCGAAAAAGTCCCGAGTAATTGTACAAAAGCTGATTGAAAAAAATTGTCAAGGCTTTTCTGTCCTCCGAAATGTTCTCCAGCGTCTTTTGGATGTCAGCCTTGCTCCCTCTACATTCAGCGTTTTCATCTTCAGACCGCTAATCTTAATCGCACGCCGCTGACATATTTTCGGCAGGCATTAAAAAAAAAAAAAAAAAAAAGGAAGGGGTGTAGCAGCTTGGGCCTGGTTGGTGTATGTAGCGGCTCGGATTAGCCATCAGTGCTAACACCACTCGTGTATGCGTGTGTATGTTTCTATGTGCGGGAGTGTGCGCCTGCGGCGTTGACACAAGATAAGCTCGACGCGAGGTATTAGCGCTAAGACGCTAGCAGCGCTTGGCTAGCTGCCACCGCCTGTCGTTTGGATGCCACATTTAACATCTGCTAGCGGAGGTTAGCCCGCAGGCTAGCAGAAAAATTACGGATGCTCAGCAACTGCTGGGCTGGTGACCAGTCAGTCTATCGAACGGGCCCATTGTTTTTAGCCTGCGAGTAGCCTGGCGACCAATCCAGGATGTACTCTGAGGATAAATTGGAAGTGAATGAATGGATGGGTCGTACGACAAGTTCATCTTTTCTCTTCTACTCCTCCTTGTACTCCATTCTTCTGTCTTCCTTCACCACGTGTCCTCTTTTATCTCCCCCCTGAAAATCCTTCTTTCTTCTGCCGGTTGACAGCATGAGGTCTCGCTTTGACTTTCCTCCTCTCAAGTCATTGACAGCACAAATTAATTTATTCACACTTTGTTGCCATCATACCTGTGCGTGTGCGGTTGCTACATCTAATCTTAGTCCCAACGGACTGCGTGACGATCCTAAAATATCTATGCAAATGTCCTCTTAAAAAGAATTTTTAAAAAAGTACATCTGGAGATGTTCCTTCCTCACTTTGACTGTCTGGCGTGAAACAAATCCGCTTTTGACTTGTTATTTTACGACGCTGAAATGAAAACACGAGAATGGGTGATTTTTTTTTTTTTGATCGACTTTTCTCTCTGTTAAATAGTGAAACAAATCATAAATGACAAAGTGTTGTAAAACATAAAAAAAAATCTTTGCCTGTAATTCATAATGTTCTTATTTTGTAAGCACGAAGGGACCAAAAAAAAAGAAGTGATGTGATTCATTATGTATTGTATTCATTTATTCTTATAATTAATTTCATTCAAATGAATTGGCTGATTCATGGGTAATCGGAAGTCTATATTAGTTGAGTCACTACTGTACACAGTGTAGCATTTGTGTGTTTGCTGTGTTCCTTTAAAACTCATTCAGTCCCACCCAATTCGAAACCAAGTCTTAAAAGACGTTTGAAAACGTCTTTGGGAGTGAATGAGTTAAGGGGTGTGGTGTCAGGAAGTGGATTTGTGTTAGCTGGTAGAAAACTGTTGTGTGAACAACCGTTCGTGTCCGTAGTTCGTTGAACAAGTTGCTGTTGACCAGCCTAATGGATGATCATCTTTTATGCTGGATCTCGTGAGGAATTTCATATTTTCAATTTGGTCTGAGTTCCCACTAAATTGTGTGTGGTGATTTCGTTCGTCCGTGTCGTGTGTGAGGCACAAACTGCAACAAAGACAAACAAACGCAACACTCGGGCGCGTTTATCTTCATCCTCAGTCTGGACCACCAGTCGGCACTTGAAGGTTTCCGGTTTGGTTTGTGGTGGTGGCCGAAGCCAAGCCAAGGCCTTTTATTTTGAGGTGTGTTTGTGTCTGTGTGTGTATGTGTGTTGGGATTCTAGAGTGTGGGAAAAGACGAAAATGTCGACACCTTCACAGATGTCGACATGAGCTCTCACACGCAGAATGAGGAGTGTGAGGCTGAGTGTGTTTTCATCATGCGGTTTCCCCTCTGTGTCCATTTTTTTTGTTGCGTTTGCACGTTGAGGATGTTTTGGTGGCGGTGGTCTTCGGGGTGTGGA